CAGAAATTTAGGGAGGTGCTAAGCAACTCAGTGAGACCCTGTCTCTAAATAAAATACAAAAACAGGGCTGAGGATGTGGCTCAGTGGTTGAGTGTCCCTGAGTTCAATCCCCTGTATCAAAAAAAAAAAAAAATTGAGTCCAGAAAGTTTAAATTATTAAATTATTGTAAATTACTGAATCTATATTTAAGTGCATTTTTTTTGGGGGGGGGTGATGCTGGGGATTGAACCCAGGGCCTTGTGCATTCGAGGGAAGCACTGTACCAACTGAGCTATAGCCCCAGCCCTTTATTTATTATTAAGTCCATTTTGATAAATCACCATAAAATAGGTAAAACTGCATTTACCTAAGTGAACTTAATACATGATGCTAACTATTTTGGATCTGTATGCAGTAAAGAAACTAATGTCATCCTTTGGAACGATATCACTTTCAGAAAAATGTCATATTATCATATCATATACTTGACTTCCACCAGTCACTTGGAAATCAAAGTGCTGGGCACATGTCTACACTACAACTCAGTGACCCAGAGAAGATAGGCTGTCAAACAAATGACCATTAGGTCTCTTTCAGGGTCTCAGTATTATGCCAACCCCAGAAACCCAAAAGAAAAAAAAAAAAAAAAAAACGACTCTTACATAAAGATGCCAACAATTGGCTGGACACAGTGCACACGCCTGTAATCCTTGCAGCTCAGGAGGCTGAGGCAGGAGGTTGTGAATTCAAAGCCAGCCTTGGTAAAAACGAACCACTAAGCAACTCAGTGAAACCCTGTCTCTAAATAAAATACAAAACAGAGGTGGGAATGTGACTCAGTGGCCCAGTGCTCCTGAGTTCAATCTCCCGTACCACTCCCCCCCCMMCMMMAAAAAAAATGATGCCAACAGCTTGGGGACAAGGAGAGACTAAGAACTGGTCATCTCTGGGCATATGTTCCTAAGGACTTCTCACACCCAGTACCAGATACTAGTGGCCAAAAAAGAGCTGGACTAAGTTTTCAAAATAGCACACAAGGTGTTAATATCTCAAACTTTTCAACACAGTTTTTGAAATAAAGTCTACTCCACCAAAGAAATATGGGCTTTAAAATGAACTCTGAGGCAAGTTCTTAGGCATCTCTCTCACTGAGCCAATGCCAGCCAGGGCAGGCAGTCCTACACCAAGCAAACCATCAGGCTCAGCTCCCAGCCAGGCCTGAACAGCCTAACCCTGCAGCCTCCTAGGCATACTTCCAGTCCCAGCAGGGTTTCTGATTAGCAAAGTAATAATTTTAGGGTACCCCAGGTGAACCGATCTCCTCTAGTGTTTGAGAATGCATTTTCYTCTACAATTCAATTTGAAAATTCAAATCTACTGTAAAAGTCATTACATCAAAAAGTTCAAACAGCTGGGTGCAAGTGGCACATGCCTATAATCCCAGCAACTGGGGAGGCTGAGGCAGGAGGATCCAAGTTCCAGGCCAGCCTCAGCATTAAGTGAGGCCCTAAGCAACCTAGCAAGACCCTGTTTCAAAATAAAACATAAAAAGAGCTGGGGATGTAGTTCAAATCCTAGTTAAAAAAAAAAAAAAAAAAAAAAAGCTAGAATAATTAAGGGAAGCAGGGTAACAAGGGAGACTCCCAACTGGACAGTATTTTAGGTAACCAAGTGTGACATAATAAAACTCCTGACCCAATTTCCACACGATTGTGTTCCAGCCCACAGCTACTGACATCACTGTGCTCTGTGGTCATTACGTCACCCGGTTGGGAGCAGTGCGGCCTACCAGGCCCTGTTCACTTTTCCAGCTTGCTTCTACCAGGAGACTAGAGGCTGCCGATCCTCTACCAGGACTGCTTCTCCCAACTCTTCCCTCTATATCTTGGTGTCACATCCCTATGGACCYGGCTGTGGGCTGGCTATCTGATCTAGAGCCCTCAGTGAAGACACARGGGCTAAGGGCCTATGTCACCTACAGGTTTTATGGGAATCCCCCCCMAAAAAAACTTCTTTTCTCCGAAGTGTGAGAGTTTCTAAGTCCTGAATCTGTTGGGTCTTCCAGGTCCATGAACGAACTTCACAGACTTTGCTGTTTCTGATCCCTTATAAGCCCATCTCCCAGATACTCGCCCCCTACTCCTTTCAGCTTTCCAAGTCTTGAAAGGAAAGCACTTACAGTCCCTCCTTGCCACCACCCCCCCCCCCCCCCCCACCCCGCCGCCGGCACACACAAGCACACGCACACACTCGCGCGCTTGCCAGGCACCGCGACAGTGGCCCCCTTGGCTCCAGGCTGACTTACTTGAGGAAGTACGGCTGCCCAGTGGCGGTGAAGGCCATCTCCCAGCCTGGGGGCAGCGGCAGCTCGTCTGTCACGTCGTAGGACTGCTGGCGGAGGTGCGCGTGCTGCTGCGCGGAGCTGGCCGCAGCGCCCGCACCGGTGCCCAGCTGCAGGGATGCGGGAGAGGAATGCGAGCGGACGTGCTGCGCGCCGCCGGCCAGCCGCGGCCCGGGGTGGCCGCCCGACGAGTCTGTACTGGACTGCCGCGAGTGCGAGCCAGAGTCGGGCTCCTTGAAGAAGGACTCCGGCAGGATCTTCTTCCGCCACGAGCTGGGCTTGGGGTTCATGACAGAGTTAAAGAGGGCCTCGAGGTCCGTGTCGAGGTCCTGCGTGACGTGGATCACTTGCTGCCCGGGCGGCGGGAGCGGTGGGGGCGCCGAGGACGGATTCATCTTCTGCAAGAGGAAGGCAGATCAGATTAGCCTTTAGTTCAAGTTGGAGGGAGGAGTTGGGATGGGGAGGGAATAGGGAGAAGAGAAATAGAGGACACAGTTAGGTGTCCATACAGGGATCCCGGACACCAGCGGCAAGCCCAGCCGGATGGGGGAGGGGTCCCTCYTGACCTCCAGAATTATGCAACTTTCCTGAAGCCAAGAAGTTGCCGGGAGGAGGAGGAGCGGGGAGGTGGGGAGCAGCTGCACTGAGTCGCTGCTGAACTGAGGTGGCAAAGGACCGGTCGTAGCTTTCCAGGGAAGGAGGCCCCCCGAACAAGTCAATCGGGCCAAGTCCAAGGAGTCGCTTCTCCGGAAACCAGAGGACACGGCGCCCTGGAGTAGTGCGGGCGAGCGGGCGCGCCAGCGGGCACTACCTGGGCGCGCAGCGAAGCCGAACCCGAACGCGCGGCGGCGGCCGTCCCGCCGGAGCTGGCCGTCGGCCCGAGTCGCCGGGGTGCGTCCGGAGCTGGCGGAGGTGGAGCCCCRCCCCCGCTGGCAAATCTCGACTGGACTTGGTGCCCGGCCGCCGAGGGACTTGCGCGCTCACATCCCCCGAGCCGGCCTCAGGCGCTCGCGCGTGGCGACAAGGAGGCGCAGAAGCAGCAGACGGCGCAGCCACAGCAGCTCCCGAACTGTCCCATAAACAAAGTTTGAAGCAAACTCCCACCCCCAGGAAAGAGGCGGGCCCGAAAGTTGAGCTGTTGAATTATGCATGATCTYCAAGTCCAGAGCCGCCAGTCCCGTTGGCCCCTCCTCTTCCTCCTCCTCCTCCCACCCGGGCTCCAGAAAACCCTGGGCGTGATGGGTACTTTACAGGGTAAGAGGAGCCGGGTGCCCCCCTCCCACCCACTCCTCCCGGCGGCGCGGACCTCTCCCGCGGAGCCTTGGGTCTGCATTCCTTTGCGTTTACCACGGACTTGGGGCGGGATCAAAGGGAAAGTGGCCCGAGCCTGTTTAATCAAGGGCTTGTGGACCGAAACCAAGCCTGAGGTGGCGGAGGGCACGCGGGTGAGGGGCCGAGGACGAGAAAGGGTCGGTCCTGGGCGCTGCGCCTTCCCTCCAGCAGGGCGCGGAGCCTCAGGCACCGGGAGGGCTGCACTGACCCGCAGTTCTGGCAGAGGTCAGGCCAGACTGCGCCCGGCGCGGGGAGACACCGAGAAGGCCAGCCTTTCTTCGGGAGGCTGCTTAGCGCTTGTGACCATATTTGGTCTGGTGAGAAGGCATCTTGGCTGCTTGGCCTTCAATTGTCTGCTAGAGCGCAGACGGTGCCCAGAAAGTGCCTCTGTTGCCGGAGGCGCAGCTTCGCCCACGGGTGGGTTGTAAACAACCTTCAAATCATTCACCAATCCTTCATTTCCTCCACGGGGTGAAGGGCCAGAAGGGGTAAAGAAGAAACCGGATCAAAGCTGGGTGCTGGAAGGGGAGAGCAGTTGCGCCCCCCTCCCCCCGCGACATCCGCGCGGGTAGTGGGAGGATTGGAATGTCCCTGACGCCCTCCAGGGAGCCTGCAGCCAGGATGGAACACAGGCAGGTGGCTGGGAGTAGAGAGGGTGCGCCAGTGACCCGGAAAAAGCCACCCACCCTCCCACTGCCTGGATAAGGGCAAGGGGAAGACCCCCGCCTCGGGGAGGAGGTCTGGCCTGGAGAGACAGCTGCGGGGAAGTGGGAGGTGGCCTCGCCCTCCGCAGCAGCTCAATTCCTTCCCTCCCTCGTCCCTTTTCCCTTACCCGAAAAGAAGAGATGGCTGCAAGGTAAGTTAGGCTCCCGGAGGCCCCCACCCTTCCCACTGACCTAAATAGAGGTTTATTAAAGAAGCCAAGGGGGCGATATATGTTCCGCCCTTTGCTCAGCACTGGGCCACCTACACACCGCTTGTTAAATAGAATAAAATTTTATTAAGTTCAGGCATTGTGCCTCATCGCTTTTATAAGGGTGAAACAAAGTCAAAATTAAAATCTCAGAGTTGAAGAAGAAAAGTCTAAGAAAAGACAAGTCCATTTTCTTCTCTTTTTTTTTCTTTTTTTCTCCCCCCACCCTTTGGTACAGGGATTGAACCTGGGGACACAACACTGAGCCACATCCCCAGCCCTTTCTATTTTTTATTTTGAGACAGGATGTTGCTGCTAAGTTTCTCAGGGTCTCCCCAAGTTGCTGAGGCTATTCTAGAACTTGCCATCCTCCTGCCTCAGCCTCTGAAGTCACTGGAATTACAGGTGTGTGCCATTGTGCTGGGCTGAATGGCTGCATCCTATCCCAAATTGAGATCCGAAGTAGCTGTACATGGAAGTGCTCTTGTTCCATTCCCCACAGACTGGGGAAAAGCAGGGCTGCTTTAGAGGAAGACATGGGCTTGGATGAACTTCAAGATAAGTGAAACTTGGGTTGGTCCAGAAGCCCCTGAAACTTCATGTTTCCCGTGCCCACAGGACTGGCAGAGGGGAAGGGAGAACCACTATAGTCACTTGTGAGTAGAGTCTTTTTGAACTATCTTCAGAGGACACAGCAGTAGCAACATGAGGAAATGAGCTATGGAACTGGAGGCCAGCCATGACTAGGACCAGATGGTCACTAATTCAGAAGCTGTGGGACTGATTTGATGGTGAAAGGATGGAAACTTGAGACCTTGCCTGCCCTAGGAAGGCCTTCACTGCAGAAGGAAGGTGAGACTCAGGGTACGAACTGAATGAACAGTAAGATCAAGGCTGGGATTGGATGGGCAAGGATGACTCTTTATTCCTTACCAAGCTTCAAGAAATAGTGCCCAACACCATGACTCTAGCTTGTGATCCCAGACACTCAAGAGGCTGAGGGAGGAGGATCCCAAGTTCCAGGCCAGCCTGGGCAAATTAACAAATTAGTAATTTCAGATTAAATAAAGGTACAGGTGTCCTGTGTGTAGCAGGTGCTGCCCATGCAGGGCAGCATGGGGCAGTAGTGAAGTATAATTTCTGAAGCAAAATGCTTGATTGAGTCACCTCAGTTAGAGGGTTAAGTTCTCTATTCCTGGCTTTCCCCCTTTGTAAATTAGGGACATCAACAGTACCACTCACTATACAAATTTTATCTGTTGACCTGTGACTTGGAATACAAGCTTTGGAGAGACTAACTCTGCTCTCTACATTGGGCAAGTGACCTAGCCTCCCTAAGTCCCAGCTGATTCACTTACAAATTGGTGATGAGGAGGTAATAGTCTGTCCTGCTGCCATGGACTGTGCTTGCTCTGTGCAGCTTATATAGTCCYTCCACTTAAATCTGGACTGAGCCAGGAGAATGCTGCAGTGACCAGTGAGAGAGCTAGTGCCGCCCACCCACCCCCTTAAGAAGGCATAGAAGCTTCTGCTTTTGCACTTTTGGGAAGACCTGAGTCACTAGATTCAAAAGTCCAACTACCCTGCTGGGGGAACCACATCGATAAAGAGATGTCCTAAGATTAGTGGAGGAGGGGAAAGTCCAGCTACTCAGTATCAGAGCTGATTTGAGCTCTACCCCTACAGGCTGACTGCAGACACCTCTGCAACCTCCCTACCAAATAGCAGCAGAACACAGCAAGCCCTGCCCAGAGGGCAGAATCGTGAGCAAATAAAATAGGTACTGTTTTATGTCACTAAATTTGGGGGGTTTAAAATACAGAATGTGCATTCTGCTGATTAAGATTTTTTTAAATTTTCTTGGTGCTGGGGATTGAACACAGGGCCTAACACAATGCTTTACCACCAACTACGCCCTCATGGAAAATGTAGACCCAAAGAATGGGTAACAAATTCTATATCCCTACTTTACAGATGAGGAAACTGTCTCAGAGAGTTTTAAAGTATTTTGTCCAAGTAAATACAATGAAATCATGAAAAAAAAAAAAAAACCCTGGGAATCAGCCCAGGGTTCTTAAACCCAGAGCAGAGCATTCTTCTATTCTCCTATCCCGTGTGGAGCCAGGGCCTGGTCCCTGGTGTGGCCATTTTAAATCCTCTTTCTGGGAGAAACTCCACAGTTTTTATAGGATAATCAATTGAGAGGACACACCTGCCGATATGCAAATCTTTCTCTGCATTTGCAAACACTTTCCACCCTAATCCAGCCCCAAAGCTTCCCTAGGCCCACTTCCTCAGGTAGCTGTCTTCAAGAGGCCCCTCCCTCCTTACACAGTGGGCAGCCCAACTGCTGTTCCTTTGGTGCCCCTCAGATCCCTTCCTCCTTTCACACCCCCACATCAGGACCTTATCTCAGATTCTCCCAGGAGCCTCCCAACTGGTTTCTCTGCTCCAGTCTCTGTCTCTGTCTCCTATTTTCATGATGTCATTCTTTGGCTCAGGAATTTTTTTGACAATTGCCTGAAAGAAAAAAGTTCCAAGCTRTCAATCTAGCACCAAGTTCTCCCAACAAATTGCCGTCTGGGTATCTTTCTAACTTGCTTCTTACATGGCCCAATGAGAAAGTTTCCTCCATCCACTCCAGCCAGGCTGTGACAAGCACATTGGGCCTGTTCCTTCAATACACCTTAGACGGAGTTCAAAACTCCGTCTGCTTTGACAAGCCTTCCCCAATCTCTCCCTTCTTTCTCCTAAGTTCTTGTTCTTGCCTTTTTCACTGAGCCACATACCCAGCCCTTTTTATTTTTTATTATGAGACAGGGTCCCGCTAGGTTGGTTAGGGCCTCAGTAAGTTGTTGAGGCTGCTCTTGAACTTGTCATCCTCTGCATCAGCGTTTTTTGGCTGGGATTACAGATGTGCGCCACTGCACCTAGCCATGATTCCTTGAGCGCATAGTGGTTCTTTCTGATTGTGCCCATTCTTCTCTCAATACCTGTGAGTGTGCCCTTAACGATTAATGAGTACCCCCCACCACTGGCTACAATTGTGTCACTGCCCATCTGCTTGGCTCTTTAACAGGATTAGGAGCTCTTGGAGAAAAGTGAAGAGGACTTGGTTTTCCTGTGAGTACTCTCCAGGCAGATGTGGTCAGTACAAATGGTGGCCTAACACAATGGCCATTTTTTTGTTTTTCAYTTTTTGTTTTTTGTACCAGAAATTGAACCCAGGAGCACTTAACCACTGAGCCTCATCCCCAATCCTTTTATACATTTTATTTGGAGACAGGGTCTCACTGAGTTGCTTAGCACCTTGATAAGTTGCTAAGGCTGGCTTTGAACTTGTGATCCTCCTGCCTTATCCTCCCTAGCTGCAGGGATTACAGGTATGGCCCCTGTGCCTGGCCCCAGTGGCTCTTGTTCCAACTCTTTTGGGGGATACTAAGGATTGAACTCAGGGGTACTCGACCACTGAGCCACATCCTCAGCCCTATTTTGTAATTTATTTAGAGACAGAGTCTCACTGGGTTGCTTAGGGCCTTGTCATTGCTGAGGCTAGCTTTGAATTCAAGATCTTCTGTCTCAGCCGCCCGAACTGCTGGGATTACAGGTGTCATCACCGCAAGGGCCTTGTCCCAACTTTTCATCTGCCATTTTGCCTCAGCAAAGCCTCAGGTTGCTTTTCTTAGCCTCACACATCATTCCTGCCCCGGGGGCTACTGCCTAGATCCCAGTGACCGATTCCAGCCAAGGTGAATGGTTAGAAATATGATGTGATGGCTCAGTTATTAGAGGACTGTGGCCCAGAAGCCCTTGGGCAGAACCTGCCTGGACTTGCTGAACCAGTATGGAGAAAATTCCCAAAGTCRGTGCTGGGTCATCATTAGCAACTGAGGAAGAGCAAAACAG